AAGTGAAAATAATTTTGTATGTTTTCCTTAGGATCTCTCGGAAATCGAAAAAGAGAAGGGCGACGAGTACTATGAAACCATTTCCGTGCATACGGATGGCTCAGCTACACAAAATAAGCCGACTATCAAGTCTTCAGATCACATAACCAGAATCTATGCATGCGCTACAATGTGGCATGAGACCAAAGATGAAATGATGGAGTTCTTGAAGAGTATTATGCGATTGGATGAGGATCAGTGCGCGCGTCGCGTAGCACAAAAATATCTACGCATCGTCGATCCCGATTACTATGAGTTCGAAAGTGAGTAATTGATGCTGAGGAACAACTTTTGCTAGTAAAGGCACTAATGTAGCAATGCTTAACTTTCCATAAAGGAAAGCATTATTCTCCACTTCATGCAATTTTTCTGAGCTTCTTTCCTTCTACTCCCGCTAGCACACACTTTCTTCGATGACGCCTTCGAAATTTCCGATCACAGCGATGATGACATTCAAGTCAATCGCTTCGTCAAGCTGCTGGTAGCCACCATGGATGATGCCGCTTCCGAAATTCATCAGACCACTATACGTTTACGGCCACCAAAGAAATACCCAACACCCTATGGTGGTCGCCTGGTGTGGACTTTGCCTGGCAAGACTAAATTCATTGCCCATCTCAAAGACAAAGATCGTATACGTCATCGTAAACGTTGGTCACAAGTCATGTACATGTACTATCTGCTTGGCCATCGCCTCATTGAGTTGCCCATATCGGCAGATCGTAAAGACGAGATCGCACAAAACACTTACCTGCTCACACTGGATGGTGATATTGATTTCAAGCCGAACGCTGTAACGCTGCTGATCGATTTAATGAAGAAGAATCGTAATCTGGGCGCGGCATGTGGTCGCATTCATCCGGTCGGATCTGGTCCTATGGTGTGGTATCAACTGTTCGAGTATGCTATTGGTCATTGGCTGCAGAAGGCCACCGAACACATGATCGGTTGTGTGCTCTGTAGTCCCGGCTGTTTCTCACTTTTCCGCGGCAAGGCGCTCATGGATGACAATGTCATGAAAAAGTATACCACTCGCTCGGATCAGGCGCGTCACTACGTACAGTACGATCAGGGTGAGGATCGTTGGCTTTGTACTCTTCTCCTACAGCGTGGCTACCGTGTCGAATACTCAGCTGCCTCCGATGCGTACACTCACTGTCCCGAAGGTTTCAACGAATTTTACAACCAGCGTCGTCGTTGGGTGCCCTCAACTATCGCTAACATCATGGATTTGCTCGGCGATGCCAAGCGCACGATTAAGATTAACGATAACATTTCGCTGCTCTACATTTTCTACCAAATGATGTTGATCGGTGGCACCATTTTGGGACCTGGCACGATCTTTCTTATGTTGGTAGGTGCTTTCGTCGCCGCTTTCCGTATCGACAACTGGACCTCCTTCCACTACAACATCTTCCCCATTCTGTTCTTCATGTTGGTCTGCTTCACTTGCAAATCGAATATACAGTTGTTCGTGGCGCAGGTACTATCCACAGCATATGCGCTCATAATGATGGCTGTGATCGTCGGTACAGCTTTGCAGTTAGGCGAGGACGGCATCGGTTCACCGTCAGCTATATTCTTAATGGCAATGACGAGTTCATTTTATATAGCGGCCTGCCTGCATCCGCAAGAGTTTTGGTGTATCACGGCAGGTCTCATCTATCTGCTATCCATACCATCTATGTACCTTCTCCTCATTCTCTACTCGATTATCAATTTGAATGTTGTCTCGTGGGGCACGCGTGAAGTGGTGGCCAAGAAGACTAAGAAAGAAATGGAAGCAGAGAGGAAAGCAGCCGAGGAAGCGACCAAACGTGTGAAGCAGAAGAGCATGTTGAGTTTCTTGCAAAGTGGTGCTGGAGACAATGCAGACGAGGAGGGTTCCATTGAATTCTCGTTGGCTGGACTATTTCGTTGCATACTCTGTACGCATGGCAAGACAAGCGAGGAGAAGGCGCAACTTACCGCTATCGCTGATTCGCTGGATACAATCAAAACTCGTTTGGAGGCACTGGAGCACACTTTAGATCCACATGGACACTCAAGGCATGGGCGTAGACGTACAACGAGCAGCGGTTCCAAAGATCACCATTTGCTATCCTCGGTGGCGGAGAAGACGGGCGATGATTCAGAGCAATCGGATTCGGATACATCAGCGGAACCGCGACAAGAACGTGACTTCTTGACAAATCCATACTGGATTGAAGATCCGGACTTGCGCAAGGGCGAAGTGGACTTTTTGTCCAGCACAGAAATTCAGTTCTGGAAGGACTTGATTGACAAGTATCTATTCCCTATCGATAACGATCCGGTGGAACAGGTAATTTGGAAGTTTTATTCAGTGCGGTTACTATGTCTGTGACCGCCTGTGACCTTAAACGGTGGATGCAAAAAACGAACGTACACCAAGTTGTTATTGCATTAAAAAAATGTTGTCGCGCAAGGGCTTGATTTCAATTAGGGCAAATATTTTTGCAGAAAAGAAGCGTTTGTGACGGTTATATGTATTAGTAGGCGAAAGAATAGTATAATACGTATAATATGGATGTACTAAGAATACGAAGATGAACGGATTGGTGTACGAATACGAGTAAAATGCAAATACCAATAAAAGTACGAATACGGTAACGAAGACATTTACGGAGACGAATACGTGTGAAAATTAATATGAATATGAATGTGAATATGAGTATGAGTATGAATATGAATATGAGTGTGAGTATGAATATGCAAATGAATGCGAATATTTATATGAATATGAATGAATATAAATATGAATAGGAATATGAATATGAATACGAGGACGAGGACGAAGACGAAGACGATTTCGAAGTTAAAGATGAATAGAAATACATACATGAACACGAATAATAAAATAAATACAAATGCAATATACAAATACGAGTACGTATGCGGAGCGAAATACGAACACAAGCACGAACATATAAGCGGCTTGAATGCGCATACGAACACGAATACGAGTACGAATAGTAAAACCTCGAATGCCAATGTAAGAAAACATGAGTCTAAACACGATAAGGAAAACAATCGCGACGACAAACCCAAATATGGGTGCGACTACTTGAACGAATAGGAGAACTTTATTGCTTCTTTTATTTTTTCTAACATTTTATATTGATTTTTATTAATCGACATGAATTTTCTAGGCAAGAATTGCGAAAGATCTCAAAGAATTGCGCGACTCTTCGGTGTTTGCGTTTTTCATGTGCAATGCACTTTTCGTTTTAATTGTGTTCTTGTTGCAATTGAACAAGGACAATATACACGTGAAATGGCCCTTTGGTGTACGCACGAACATAACCTACGACGAATCCACACAAGAGGTAAATTTCGGCAAGGGGATTTCATGCGCGTGGCGTCAAATATCGAAAACAAAATACACGTATTTTTTTGCCATTTTAAAGGAACCCAAGGGTACTTGACGTTATCGTAAAAGAAATCCCCATCAGGCAATAATACTAACATATTTCTTTTTTTTCTTTTCTTCTTTTCACATATTTTTTACAAACTATCTATGCAAAATGGAAAATTAAAATTTCATACAAACTAAATTTTATAAAATTATTTAATTAAATTTAAAAAATCAATGCTTTGTGCGGTGATGTGATAAACGAAACCAAAAAAAAAACCGAAACCGAAACTGAAACTGACCGCAATCGTACGAAAAAAAAAACGCCAAAATGCATTAAAAACGTCTTAACTCGAAAATTGTTTTCGATTTTCCAAAATTCAAAACTTTAAAAAACGAAAAACAAACAATTTACTATAAATCAACGTATGCACAGGCACGGATCGCAGCCGATCTTATAGATCTAAGGAACAAGTCCGTCTTCGCGTTTTTCATGGCCAACGCCTTGTTCGTCCTGATTGTGTTTTTGCTTCAGCTGAACAAGGATAAGTTGCACGTTATCTGGCCACTGGGCGTCAAGACCAATATAACGTATATTGAAGAGACATCAGAGGTTCTTATCTGCTGTATTTTTCAAGTTCAAAGATTTTCTTTGTTTTTCCCCACACCTCTCTCCTCTAACAGTTGCCTTCTTGCTATGGTTCTTGTTGTACATTTTTTTCGTTTTTAACTTTTAATTTGTTACATGACTGTAAATTAAAAAGGATTGTAAAAATTATTACAGCTAATTCTGAGAAATTAAAAAAAAAATCCTAACTAAAAAGGCAATAATATATTGTGCATGTGTATACTTACATACCCCTTTTTTTGTTCACCTGCCTGTTTTTATTATTTATTTTTATTTAATTTTTTAATTGATTTTTTGTGTATAACAATGTGTAAAACTTTTAGTTTCGCGTTCAAAATTTACTCACAAGCGGGGAGAAACTTATTGAGTGCATTAAAAAGGATTGCGGTTTTTGCATATACCAATTTTTGAATATAAAATTTTATTAAATTTATATCACGCATGCGAAATTCTCAACCTATTTATAAGCATTCATGCGGCAACAATTTGGTTTTTCGACATAATCAATGTTTTTTTTTTTTTAATAATCCATCACTTATCAAAATGACTTATATATTGGTGCAGGCTTATTATTAACATATGTAAATAAATAATTGTATTCACATATGGAACATTGCAAGTTAACCGGATCATGACTGCGCCCAATAAAAGGTTAAGTAAGTGAAAAACCCGAGCGACAGCTCATTTTAAAGATGAAAGTTTAGACCAGCGATGGGCAGAGAGAGCTTTTACTCTACGCGCGGCTATATGAAATGCAACGATGAGCAGAGAGAGCTTTTACTCTGCACGCTCCTATACAAAAGAGCTTTGCCCGCGGGCAAGACAGTGCCCATCAGTGGATTAAAGTAACTCCAGCCTCGAGGCTACAGATTAATGTATCTCTTTGCAAAATTCAATATGTCAGCTTCAGTACGAAAGTTTAAAGCTCTTAACTCTCACCAAGGGATACTCATTGGGATAAATATCAGAAACTTTCAATAAATTATTAAAAATTCTTATTATCAGTGGCGGATTTGAAGTCTTTTCCGCCCTAGGCCCTATAATAGGTACCAGCCTTTAAATCCGAGCACAATTTTCCATTTTTTCAGCTAATATTTAAATTATTGACTGCAATCATGATCTGGTTGACCTGGAATGTTCCAGGTACATATAGATTCAAATGTATCTTCCTAAGTAAGAATGACCTAGCCTAAAATTTCCATGTTCATATGTGTGTATAGTACAATATTTATTAGCCTTATATTTTTATTTGTATTATAATTTTCATACATATATTCAATCTCATAAATATCAATAAATGTTCCCACTTTTACGGCACTCTTTTATCCTTAAATGCTTACCACTTCTTTCACCTTGTGCTCGCTTTGTATGTGTATCAGAATTATAAAAATATTAGTATGTAAAACTTTAGAAATCAAACAATTAAAAAATTCGCCCTATCTGGTCTTTTCTGTGCTGGTAATAGAAATTTTTTAACTGGTGGGTAATTTTTTTGTTTCAGTAGTTTTTAATAAAATTTTAAAATTTGTCGGTTACAAAATGTTCGGCAATCTTCAGTATGTATAGACCTGTAAGTAAGGGGGCCATTAGTGCAATTCCAATTCGTCCAAGCTGGAAATAGTAGCTCAACGGTGATTAACTTCGCGGCTCGCTTAATTCGCAATGCTGCTGTCTGTCAGGATACAATAAAATACCACCTGCATAACTGTATTTTTAGTCCCAGATTTTTATCTTTAAACATTCGCTCGAAACTTTGATTGTATTTTCTTATGCAGCACCGGGCTACTTCATCTCAACTGGTCGATAGCCGTCAGTCCATCTTATCTTGAAGGCCGTGCGTAAGACTATCTTAACTCGATGAACTATTCTAAATTTTTCAGCGAAGTCAGACAAACTTTACTAACTCAGACCGGTCTCCATAGCTTAACAGCTTAACACACGACACAGAATATAGGCGTGTCCGAGTTAAGATAATTTGTCTACATTATCCTGGGAGAACTCCCGTCATAATTCCTCGCTTATTCTTAGAAAAGCTCATTGATTCCTTAAAACGTTTACAGTTGTGTGTTCCTATAAGCTTTGGAATGCTGTAGCCCTGGTGGTTTGTACAAGTAGCGATTTATGTGAGCATCTTCCTCATGTTTAGCCCAATTAAAGGGTTCCACTTCCCTATAACACTGAAGTACTATGGGTTTGATGCTCCCTTCTTTGCAAGTTTATCAGCCACATACATATTGCCCTACAATTAGATTGGTAAGGAACGCAGGAGTACATAAACTAGATTGGTCAGACCAAGAGGGTTTAGGCGTATTAAGGCACTCCATTACCAGTTTTTCTGTTACCTGATAAGATTCGAGGGCCTTAAAGGACGATTAGCTGTCAAGACAAGATAGCCATGTGGTTACGGAATTTTCGCTTGATATTGAAGTTGGCATGGCATATCTTTCTACAGCGTACATATGTTTCTGCTTGGAAAATGGGGATACATATCGATGGTCCTATGTAGTAACGATTTAACTCAAAACCTAAGAGAAAACATGTTTAGTGTTAAGTCGATCATGTCTCCAATCATTGTCTAATCCATATACAAACCATATTTAATTAAGTACCAAGAATTTGACCTGGATTAGGCAAGGATTAGAAATATACACAATGTAGAGGGTTTATTTTTTGAGTTTTCGAGTTGTGTAGTGCAGAGGACCACCGATATATTTTTCCAGGAGTTTCGAGTATACCAAGTTTGCATGGGTTGGTTCATCCGATATGTCTCGGATATACATATGTACTTGCCCTGCCGGCTTAAGCCATGCTATGTATTTATAAACCTAATGATATATTTACTATCCATAAAATATTAGAAAATATTCGATTTAAAAAATAACCACAAATTTAAAACTATGCACTTTATAGCTTACGCCAAAACAATAATGTCAACGCTTTCGCTTTATTTGCTCTAACTAACAACAAAAAGATATAACGTAATAAATGTTATGGGTATTCATCTAAACGCGCAAACGCCTCGTAAACGTGTAAAACTCCGGTTTTCCATACAAAATTAGTCAAGTTTACGAGGTTTACTTGGTTACCAGGTACTTACGCGTTTAGATGAATTGCCCTATTAGATAAATATAGAATTTGAAAAGGATATAGAATTCGCCAAGCAAACGAAAATTTCTGAAAATTATTCAATTTATGAACTTGTCTTACAAGGGAAAAAATTTTGCAAAGCCAGCACAGTGATGCAGTACATACTATTCCGAAATAACGTTCAAAACAGTACATCTATTCAAGCAGCAAACCCCATAACTACCATCACTATTTATTTCAACCACGTTCAATACAAGCAATGTACAACAGCAACAGTAACTCCTAACCATGTCATGAACATGTATCATACTCGTAAATACAAACAATTCATCAAAGATACCAAACATGGGTGTGTCCGATCCTTTCGTATGCAAGTCACCTGCAAATACATAAACCTTAACACTTGCATTACTCAAACGAACATATACGACCCTATACGCAACAACCAGTCACATCAAATAAATAAACAAATTAACGTTAGGCATGTTAAAAATCACACACACAATGCACATAAAACTGGTTTTCAGATGAGTTATATACATATTTGGAAGCATTTGGATGCTCATTTTAATGAAATCAAAAAATTATAATTACAATTTTTATACTAAGTAGCGTAACTAACCTAAAACTTTAATTTATAAAACAATGGATGCTAATTTACTATTATTCCTTCACTGCCTTCGACTTTTAGGTACACATCTCCAAGGAATATCTACAACTAGAGCCAATCGGTTTGGTATTCGTATTCTTCTTTGCGCTCATTCTAGTCATTCAGTTTACCGCTATGTTATTCCATCGTTTCGGCACACTCTCACATATTTTGGCCTCTACGGAGCTGAATTTCTGTAAGAAGAAATCCGAAGACACTTCGCAGGATGCGCTTATAGACAAGGTAAATATCTCTCGCTGCCTTGACAATTCAAACTATCTCTCATTTTCATTCTTCTCGATTTACAGCATGCTGTGGAGATCGTCAAGAACTTGCAACGTCTCCAAGGCATCGATGGTGACTACGATAATGATTCTGGTAGTGGCCCTGATCGTATTGCACGCCGTCGCACTATACAAAATCTGGAGAAGGCTCGACAGCCGCGTCGACAAATCGGTACTTTGGATGTGGCATTCAAAAAGCGTTTCCTCAAACTTACTGCGGATGAAAATAATCCAGGTAAAGTGATCCAGGAAATTGTGTGGAAATAAAGTTGCTGAAATGTTTGAATATATAATTTTTTTTTGCAGCAACTCCAATACTAACGCGCCGCTTGACAATGCGCGCCGAAACGATACGCGCGCTGGAAGTGCGTAAAAACTCGGTGATGGCGGAGAGACGCAAGTCTGCAATGCAAACTTTAGGCGCGAAGAATGAATATGGAATTACAACTACAGCAGCGGTAAGTGTAAAACCTGAAAATCCAATTTTGCATATAAATTGGAAAAGATATTTTAAATGATTCGATTAACCTTCCCTTAAGCGCTTTTCACTACATTATTAGGATATGGAGTTTTTAGCGATTTACATAGAAGTTTAGACCTTTCATTTCAATAGTGCAAAGAAAGATGACAACGCATTTCCTTGAACTGACTAGACGCAGGTGGTCAGATATACAGACTTGTGAGATATCGAGAATACTATAACCTGACTACAACAGGACGAAGACCTTGCACCTGCTTAGCAGAGCGAGGCCACAAGTGTGCAGAATTGTGGCAACCATCACTGGGCACTGGCTCATAGGCAATCATGCGGCAAAAATAGATCTAGCCCATTATATGAATTGCCGCAGCTTTCAGCTTGACGATAGCGATCAGCGTTTCCTTTGTGAATGTCCCGGTTTTTCGAAAATTAGACACACAACATTAGGAATACATCTGGTAGCACAACTAGTCGACCTCTCAGGAGGTACCATAAGCGAAATCGGTAGATTCAATAGAAAATCAAAATGGTTCGACCTAGCAACATTGCTTGTGCATAGACAAATCATCCCCCGCGAGAAGTGTATTAAAATGGCGCACAAATGCGCTACTTGTGTCCTGGGCAGCGACTAAGAAGCACTGCAACTAACCAACTATCTTTCGTGTATACCTCGTTCAGCGACCTACATGAACTTTTCTGAATCTCTAAAAGTGGAACCTACTCCAATCTTCTCGAAGAACATCTAACATAACCACCTGTCATATACATGTTCGGATCGTATACTCCTCTATGAAAAATATATGAAGTCCGTTGAGCATTACTTTTGCAAATGACCTGAAGAATGTCTTCCTTCACAATTGGCTCAGAACCCAATGACAACGCAATACTAAAGATGAATTAATCCGATAGCCGGCGCAGGAGTCGAGATATTTGAAAACCCCGTATTTACAGTCCGATTTGGCTCATATTTAGAAAGCTTGTTTTAAAAATATTTTTTTCTACTTTTTTACTTATATAATACTATAGAGTTTTCTTTTTCATTTGATACCTACATATATTATCATTCTACATTGAACTGAATATTTTTAATTAATCGTCTTTAAAATTTCAAATACCTTTTGGAAAAATTTCTAGTTTCGAGAATATGTTGATTTTATGTGTAAAAGTCTTTTTCCGCCCGGTGTTATGCCCATTAAATTTTTTTTGTTTAAGTATTGAAAAAAGGGAAAATATTGTTGGCGGCCAAAGCTGCTAAATATATCAGACATATTTAGGTCTATCTTATAACTAATCGGCGAGACAAAACTTATTAGCACGCTTAGCTTGAGAAAAAGTTCTTGAGTCCAAGTCGTGAATTCTAAACTTTAAAGAGGCACATACACCAGGACGGCTATGGGTTCCCACAGAAGTTATTTCACCATATTAGAAATTCTTTGCTGTAATAATATTATTCATTGAACCTCTATTCCTTATTTCAGTTGAACAATAATGGCGTCATACCGAACCAGCGCAGTGGACGCATCTCTAATGCGGGCATAAGCATCAAGGACGTCTTTAATGCGAATGGTGGGCCAGGCGAGGTATGTACCGCTTCCTTCCTCACGCCAAACTAAACTAAAATATTTTTGTTTTTGCAGCCAATATATGGTTCCAACGGTGGTGGTACCATCAACCAAGGCTACGAACATGTACTCGAAGACGACGATCGAAACTCGTTGCGACTGACTCCGCGCAATCCCAATCAACAAGTGTCATGGGGACAGAATACCAGCAACACAGGACGATTATAAGAACGTGTACATTTTGCCACATTGCTAGCCTGAGCTCAGTTTGTTGTTGTTGTTGTTGTTATTGAATATAAAACAAAAGGACTTGTTAGTTATTATTACTATTAGAATATTAAGTTCACTGTCCCAGATACTTTCAAATATCGTATTTTCCGTACTGTAATGTACTTAAGAGACTTTTGTGGCCCCAGAAACTACAGAAATTGGTGTTTCTTGAAAAGTTTCCCTCGACAAAACACCTAAATTTAGTCAAGTTGCTAACACTGTCACAAAATCGACTACTCGTATTGTGGAGCCAATTCGTTCATAGCTCTTCGAAAAATAACATTTACTGCCGGCTCTTTAAAGAAAAATAATAAAAAATAGTATGTATATCGAATATTTTTTTCATATGAATTTCTACTATCTTCATACGTATGTACTTTTGAACCTACATACATATTTATATCTTTATGTTACCTAGTTATTTAGGTTAAGGCACAATCTTGTATATTTGTAAAGTTATGAATTTACACTTTTGTATATTGTAAATATAACAACGAATATTTTAGCTAATCACACTGCCCGCTCACGTGAGAGACTTGTTGATGAATAAATTTATTACACAAATGTAGGTATGTATCGTCAAGTTTACATAAGACAAAGTTTGACGTATACAGGCAGGTTCTGCAATTGACTTCCGAGTGATTTTCAACAAAACTCACTTCAAATTCAACGCTCAGGGTCCTGTGCTGCAATTTACTTGTTTTATTCTCACTTCCTTTCGGATTCCAGACCTTGCCTGTAAAATTCGGAAAGTGAAACACAAACCCCGAACTCTGGATTCAAAGCGAGTTTTGTTCAAATTCACGCCGAATTGTAGAACCTCCCTAATAGACTTTGTAGAAAGTCATTGCAATGCCAGCTGTTTGTAGATTAAAAGTTTATAGCGTTTGTCTAGTAATTTAGTATGTAAATTTTCTTAGTTCTTACTTGAATTTTTATGTAGTAGAATATTTTTTTTATTTGCACAAAAGTTGTTGTTATTGACAAACAATACTATACTAATCTTAATCTGTGTTTACCTGCTTGGCGTGCATAGATTTGTATTGTATGTATGTTTAGTCAAGGAACAACAGTACCCGTACCAGTGTATAAATCATGGATAATACTCATTTGTCAATTTATGTGAAATCACATATTTTATGCAAACTATATTTTAATTTTGTATGCAATTTTTAGTTGATATAGTGCGTACATATAGAATATATATTTTGTATATGTGATTACCTATTTTTTATATGAAATTTATAATCTTGCATAATACTCGAATAGAATTATAACTTATGCGAAATTAGAATAAAATATTGTTAAATAATTAAAAAAATAATCACGTTGTTGTTTTATTAACAAGTAATTTTTAAGCAAAAACATAAAACCGACTTCAATTCTCATATAAAAATTTAAGATTATCGTTAATTTCTTCACGACCCAATTATCGGGTCTAAGCAAAATTAGTATGGGACCACCCTTGAGGTACAACCTTTGTGATAAAAAAAAATAAAAAATATTCCGACAAACTCTGCAATAACGACCTAATTCAGATTTCAGATAATAAAATCCCTTATTACTGTTATAATATCCCATTTCCACCTAAAGCTTAATAGCAGTTAAAAGCTCACGTAAGCTCGAATAATTTTGACATGGATCGATCGAAAAAGTGTATGTATTACTTTTTGATTTTTTTTTTTTTGCGTTTGCTTATACTTACGTCCCAATTCTGTGTTTTCTTGATAAATTTTTTGTAAAGAAATTTTATCAAGATTTTTATCAAGTAAAAGCTTCCCTCGTATTCTGTGTCAATATTTATAAAACAAAAAGCTCTACGATTTCCACATAAGTGGAACTGATTTCCACATGTGTGGAACTGATTTCATTGTCACATATGAAAAATATGGATTTAAAAGCAACAAAGCTTTTGACTGTCGTAGCCGAGTAGCTAGAGATGTCGACTATAATTCCGTGTGTCGCAGGTTCAAATGCCGGCACATGGAGTATTCAATTGTTAGAAACAAATTTATTAATATACAAAATTTATACATTTCATATGAAATTTCAATTTGTCAATAGCATTTTCCATCTTGATAATTTATAAAGAAAAGAGCTTTTGGTTTCTGTGCTAGAATACCAATTCTTGATAAATAATAAAAAATTGACAAATTATAAAGATTTTCAATTTATCAAGTGCACAGAATCGGGCTGAAAATGTCTACATTTCACATGAAATTTCAATTTGTCAATAGCATTTCCAATCTTGATAATTTATCAAGAAAAAAGCTTTTGGTTTCTGTGCTAGAATACCAATTCTTGATAAATAATAAAAAAATGACAAATTATAAAGATTTTCAATTTATCAAGTGCACAGAATCGGGCTGTTAATATGAACAATTGCCCGCTACAGTTGTAATCTCTTTTTTCCAAAAGGCGTAAACTGCATTTAAGACTTAATGGAAATGAACCATAAACCTTGCTTAACCCTTGTGTAATCTTTAAACGGAACGTTCCATGTCAACCGGAACAGAGCTATATCCAAAAATTGGTGCAATACAAAAAAAAAAATATTCAGGGCCTGTAAATGTTTGTACACTTTTAAGAGCAGTGTGGCGATTTCGGAAAATTCAATATGGTGGCGTCAGTAGAAGTGATGCAATTCATCAAACTCACGAACCGGCAAATAATATTAGCTGCATTTCTTTTGTAAGCGAGCGACAAAAGAACGCTCAAAGAAGAACTCGGGTAATTTTCCGGATAAATAGCCGAGTTTGTGTTGTTGCTTTGCGTGTATTTCGTCATTTAAGCGAGTGTTTTTTTGTAGCTCGGTTGCAAAAGAATGCAGCTATTAAAAATTCAACATGGCGGATCTAAGATGTAGGACGATTTTTTAAAAATCAATATTTTTGTTCGAAAGTTGAGGCCCGGAGTTTTCGGGGTTTCTGAACTCAAAACTGGTGTCAGAACTTCAAAATTCTTAATGGCGAATCCATATTGAATCTACCATATATAACGGTAACGTACTACGTACATGGCGTATGAGTTACTCAGATGAGATGAGCTTATTACTCTTCCGTGATAAATGTTAGATCCAATATGGAACCGCCATTTAGAATTTTTTAAATCTAATTTGAGTTCAGCAAACCCGAAAAGCCCCGAGTCTCAAGTTTCGAGCAAAAATGTTGAATTAAAAAAAGTTCTCCATCTTGGATCAGCCAATTTGAAATTTTAAAATTTGGTACCAGATTTTAATCCGGCAACCCTGTTAACTCCCAGAGTTTCAAGTTTCGAGCACAAATTGTGACTTTAAAATCCGACACCAGATTTGTATTAGTTAGATATGCAATATGGTATTACTTTTTCGAAAATAGGTGCCACCTTTCAAAACATTAACATTATTTAAAACATCAAGCCAATTATTAAAAAGTGGTTTTGAAAAGCTCTATTTTTTAACTTAACTGTACGATTTAAATTTAATTTGAAGTAAGGAAATTAGTTAATAGAAATATGTATAACCATATGGGCGCTAGACGAAAAGAGTTTAAGAGGTTGTAGTTTGTAAATGTTTTGAAAAGGGTTGCCACCTGTTTGAAATATCGAAATTAGTTAATTTATATAAAAGGTATATTAAATATTAAAATACTGGTATGAAATGAAAGAGTGTTAAGAAATATTTATTTTCAACACTAGAAATATTTTTTGTTCAAAAATTTAAATTATTTGAAAAGTTAAATGAATTATTAAATTATGGATATTAATCGAAATGGATTTAAAAAGGCTTTATTTCTTAACTATATTTAGGGGTTTGCCACATGTTTAAAACATGAAGCTCAACTTAATGTCTATTTAAATATGTATCATAATGTCAGAAGACGAAGGAAATGGAGGAAGGTTTTAGCTTGAAAATACTTTTAAAGAGGTTTGCCGAATTTAATTAACTTATATACAAGTAATATGAAATATTAAAATACTATGATAGCACGGCCGAGTAATCATCAACTTATGTACAGTAGTCTAAAAAATTATAGCCGCACCAAATTTTGACAAGTTTTAAAATATTATTTTTGTTGTTATTTAATTTCGGTTAGTTTTTTATAGTTCGTTCTTTACCAACATCCGTATAAATACAAGTTTAAAGGCAGTGTCACACGATTGGGTATTTGCTAAAATTTGATGTAAATCGTATCCCAATTGTTTGAACACCCAAAATATTTTTCACTATCCCAATCACGAAAATTGATTTATTGAAATTTTTCAATAGAACATCGCTGTATTGTACCAATCTTTTGAATGCAAAAAAAACTGTCCTACTTTTTTTTACCAATAGCCCAATATAAAAATTTACAAATCTGTACAAATGTACCAATCGAATGACACTGTCTTAACAATTTATGCAATTTAAAAAAAAAATCTAAAAATTTTCGTTAAAATTTCGAGTTTATTAATTAAATTCTGAGTATGCAGTTTTGTAGCCCATTGAATTCTAATAGAATAAAGTACACGTTTCAAATGACTAAAAATGTCGATTGATTCTTAGAATTTCTAAAATTTCGAAATTTGTACGAAAGTTTGTTGAATTTTTTTTAATATTATGTATTGTATGTATTTTTTATATCTTTAATTGGACCTCCACATCCCCCCACGGTCAGAACCCCCACATCGTCCAACCCGGTCACGTATTTTTAAGAAATAGTTTAGGTGTGTAAATTAGGTGATTTAGGTAAGTAAAAAATGGAAAAGGTAGTCATTTTAAATAATGTTTTTTTTTTTAATTCAGTACTTGAATTTAAAAATTGGAATTGGGTTAAAGCCTGTTTCTTAAAGTGTCGTAAATCAAACCTGCGCCACTAAATAACTACTCGCTCAAGGCGAATAACTTGAAAAACTTAAAACTTGGCAAAATTGTAAATTCTCTCCAATAACTCCTTTCTGAGAATTGCATCGGCGCTGCAAATGTCGGATGTATCCTCCTGCCTTTCATCTTCACAATCTAGCATCTGAATAGATCGTTGTTTAAACACCGTTATTTTCCATAGAATTCTTCATTCTCATTCTTTCGGTTGTTTCAGAATTTGGAGAACCTGTAACATCATTAGCTATTTTCGATTTTAGTTTTTGTAATTCATTTTTAGTATTTTCTTCTGTGACTGGTTTGAAAAATGTTTGCTTATAGCGAGGTTTTAAATAGGGGGATATGGCAAATAATATGTGATTTTATGGGAATGGAAATTTCGAAGAAAATTTTGTTTGAAAGTCGTGGCTGCCAGCCGAATTAGTTTAAAATCTTGCTATTTTGTTAAAAAGGAACCCCGTTTTTTATAATAATTTGAATTATTGGAATCGTGGATGAAGGTCCAAGATCTGCTTAGTTCCCGGGTGACTTCTTGAAATGGTTCACCTGTAATGAATACCTTCTAATTAGTTTTTTTATTAGCTGATATCGACTTTTCCTAATTGCAGTAAGTCACAATTACTTACTCACCGCTGTCAGTACCATATAAAATCCGTTTTGTTTTTTCATTCCATGTGCTCAATGTGCTTTGATATTTTGAGGCAAATGTACGCAAATTTTCAACATATCGTTAATATAGTATGGATAGGGCGCATTTCACATTGTGGCTGAAACGCAAAAAAGCCACAACTAACGTAAATCTTGTTATTGCATAAAACGATGTGAGGACTTATGATTCGATGAAATGCATCATAATCTATCAAACAGTGAATTTTGGAATTTTAGTTAGTTACGGCTTATTGTATTTCAGCGACGAGGTGAGTTACGCCCTTTTCATACTATACGAATGATATATTGCGTTCCAAGTCCCGCTCCTCAATAGATATTAAATTCGCCTTGAAATGATTCTTATTTGATTTGTGAACTTGGCTGTCAACTTTTTCACATTCCATTTCACTTTTATTTCGCTACGTCCAAATTTTGACAATTATCACAAAATTAATATAAATGTTGTTGTTTTTGAGCACACAGAAGAGTATTTGCGTAGTAAAAGTGTTTTTCTGCTAAGTAACAAAAGAAAACACGGAACTTAATCATAATAAGCCGTTTTATGAAAAAAAATAGTTACATAATTCTTACCTAATGAAAGGTTATCTTTTACCGCGCAAATTGTCGTTTCTCGTTATAGCTAGACGTTGAACATTTGACTTTAAATTACAAAAAAGGGGGGATTTAGGGGGACAGTTTTAACGTAGCATCTCCACAGGCCAAAGACATTAGCTATAATTATTATTTTGTTTGCCAGATATACGTTTCATCAGTGCACTTGCACGATATTCGCATTCGCAAAAGCTCCATTGATTATTGCGAATGCGAAAGCGAATGCGGATGCGAATGTTAAAATACATGCGGAAGCTCCGCGGTTGCGAATGCGAATGCGAATATTCGCAACCACCCTGGTACATACATACATACATCTGCTTTTGCTTAAGGTTATATTTTTTGTCTTTTTTCTATCTAGATCCCTATCTCTACTCCTGTTCGTTCTAATTACATTTATTATCTTCTGTTTTCCTTTATCTTCATTTTTATCTCTATACTCTATCGATAACAAAACCGATAGTAACATCCAACAAAATATCGATAACAAAACCGATAAAAATATCGATAACAAAATCGATGACAAATATGATAAAAATTTCGATAGCAAAATTGATAATAATATTGGTAGCAAAATCGATAAAAATATCGATACAAAATCCATACAAATATCGATAGAAAAATCTATAGAAAATCAATAAACAATCGATAGTGAAATCAATAACAAAAATCGATTAGAAAATCGATAAAAATATTGATTAAAAAATCGATAACAAAATCATTAATTATCGATAATAACATCGATAAATAATCGATAGGAAAATTGATAAATAATCGATAACAAAATCGATAAATAAGCGATAAAATATCGATGAAAATTTCGATAACAATTTCAATAGCAAAATCGTTAATAATATTGGTAGCGAAATCGATTACGAAAATCGATAAAGATATCTATATAAGTTTCGATAGTATTGGTAACAAAATCGATTGGAAAATAGATAAAAATATCGACAACAAAATCGATAAATAGTCGATCATAAAATCGATAAATAATCGATAACAAAACTGATAAAAATGTCGATTATTTATCGATAAGTCCCGAGAATCCCGAAAATCTCTAAAATCCCAAAATAGTTCCCAGATTGAGTCTCTGTGTCCCTATCTAAATCCTCTTCTCTATAGTTACCTTTATTTTAATCGTTCTTCCTCTACCTTCATCTTTACTTTTATCGGTAGCCTCATCCTCATCCTCATCTTTTTCTTTATATTTATCTTTGTTTTCACTTTTATGTTTATCATTTTCTTCATCTACATATTCCCTTCACCTTTGCCCCTATATAAGTAAAAGGCCTTATTCATAAAAAAAAGTAGGTTTAAAGAGCTTTGTATATTGACGTATTCATACATTTTTCATTTTAAAACCCGTTTTTAAAGCTGATTTGCTCTTTATGAATAGGGCTAAAAGTGTTTAAATTTACTTTGGTCTTAATTTTTGCCCTTATCTTTACACATCTTTGTTTTTGTTTTTATTTTTACCTTTGCCTTTATCCATTTCTTTATCTATTTACGTACTAACTTTTACTTTCATTCTTGTATTGGTCTTTTTCTAAATGTTATTCTTTAACCTTTTTTTAACAAGTTTTTGTTAAATTAATAACATACATTCAAGAAGCATTTGTTTCCGTCCCAACCATTTCCGTTGCACCATTTCCGTTTAATTTGCCAATTTACTCCCAACCAACCAACCACTGCTAAAGAAGTTTCACTTCAATTATGTTCTTCAATTTGCTAACGGGTAGATATTTTGTAATTCATATTTAGTTTACAATTTATTTGTGATTAAAATTTTGACTATTCTTTTTTGATACATTTTACTTTACACTTTAAATAACAAGCTTAAAATAAGACTTCCACTATTTCAGCATTTACATTGAAATATGTAAATGCACCATAACGCCTTTGTGTCACACAAGTTGGTAAGTATGTATCTTTGTAGGTATATGTATATACGCTCAACAATACATTTGTATGAATGTGCACGGATGGTAAGAGGCGAAGAATGACAACATTTAATGTTCCAACAAAGTGACACGACGAACTTTCACACACACACAACTTAAGCCCTAATATGATCACCCTTTTTGGCGGCTATGGGTAGCTTCTCGCCTTGCAAGAATGGATTATTCGGACCGCCACGTCCACTGGCAAATCCGTAGAACTTCTTCACCACAGCATTAGGATTATCAATACCATTCTCATTCTGAAATTGATGCATCAAGAACTTCTCCATGGTCGAAGTCATCTCATTGGCGCTGGCATTGCTATCCTGGCTGGCGCAATCGAACATGTGTTCATTGTCGCAGGTGCATTCCTGAGCAGCTTGGAATTCGCGACTGAAAATTGCTGTATTCTCAAAATCGGATATGCAACCCTGACTCTCCTCATAGCCATATGGACAGGGATTTGGAGGATTGCAGTAGGCCGGCAAGGTGGCATCGGTCTTAATTGATGGGAAGCGGTTGGGCATCTCACCCATGCCACCGTTTATGTACTGATGACCCCACAAAGTGCTGTGCTGCAAATACTCCTGATCGCGTATGGATGGGTGTGAGCCAAACATGGCGCGGTATTCATAGTCATCGGGGCCATTGTTGCTATTCTTCGATGAACGTGATACCAAATCAAGACTCTTTGGCGTATCGGATAACAAATCGAAATAATTTTGCACCGGATCAATGTCCTTGTCCATGCGATTCAGCAATTCGGTGAGCAGGACATCAGCGAAAATATTCTCCTTCGAAATGGGACTAAAAGCGTTGGCATGTTGTTGACTGCCAAGCAGCAAAATGGTCGTCAGGACGAAGCGAAAAGCGCCTGAAAGTATACAATGGCGTTTGTATATTGTGAAAAATGTCAAACGATTTATTTCAATTTATTTTTCAATGTTTTCTCGCTGAAACTACTAATCTTACCGTTACGTTGAGGAGACATATTGTTAGTAATAAATGGCTCGCCGCGGGTTTTTCCGCTTTCACTCAGTCACAAGCTGTAAGTATCTATTTACTTGTGACGTTGGCGATAAATTATTGATTTTTCACTTCGGCAGCATTGCATTGGTTAACATGAGTTGATGGTTGGTGTTGCTTTTTTTGTTTTGGTAGCGTTATTGTTTTGTGTGCTAAATGTATGTATATTAGGGTGTGCCTCACTCTTCCTACAAAAAAAAAAATAAGATGTTTTTCCCTCGGATATACAAAATTTATTATATTTTAAAACTGCCGCCAATATATTTCGGAAATATATTAATTGAAAATACCTCCAAAATCAGGGTTTTTATAAATAAAATGAGTTTTTAAAAGAACTTTTCTAAAAAGCTCAACAGTTGATAGAAAAGTTTAATCTTAAAGGTCTCCATAAATATGTTTAAACATTTTATCAACGCAATCAAAATAATGAGGTTGTTGGAGTTATTTTCAAATTGGTCTAGCTCACATAAATCTTAATACTTTTCCGAAATACTTTGGCGAAAGTCGAGAATATAATACATTTTTAGTCTATTCCAATAGCAGTCCGGTTTACAGGATTTAGTCAGAACTTACAGGAAGTCGTGCCTATTGACATAAAACCTGTAAGTGGGAACACATTTGAGAGAGTAACTGAGCAACTGTTCCTAGTCAGAAGTTACAGGATTTAGTCCGGAGTTTCTTTTCCTGTAAGTTCCTGAAAAGTGTCAAACGATCAGCTGATTTGCATGTGCAAGCAAAAACAAACAGCGGTGAAAGCAAAGTACCTTATATTTGTAAAAAAATGGAAGTAAACAACGAAATGTTTGAATATGTATAGATTTTAATAATTATTTAGTGATATTTTAGCTAAATCAATGTTGTACAAATGACATGTAAACAAACCGACTGACGTTTTTACAGGAAATAGTGCTTTTTGCGTTCCTATGCACTTCTGCATCTGTTCTACTTTTACTCTCATTTGAGAGAGTAAAATTGTAGTTTGACAGTTCCACAGGTTTTAGTCCGAAGTTCAAAGGAACAGACTATTTATAATTCTGGTGGGAAAACCGCAAGTTTTCTTTTTGTCGTGTACACTAATGTATACATATACATATGTACATACATATATGTGTAAGGTCGTGTTTATAGCTGCCGTAATGTCATCTGTTGAGCTATGTGGTTGCCTTAAATAATATGCATACGTATTTATGTAAATCATCGTTTAAAGTACAAAACCGTGTATCAACCAGATGCAAAACCGGGTATGTGAGGTTGCATAAATTATTTTCTAGTGAGTAAAAACACTCATATTTCAAACTGGTTCTCTCTTTTATAAAGCAATCGCATTTAGGGCTAGCATATTTCAGGAAGTCAACTTAGGAAAGAATTGAGTTATATATGCTATCGTTTTCTGCAGCTACTATTCCATTTGTATGTGAAACTCCGATCTCGTGACCTAGGCTATTTAAGAAGTTATGGATGGGGGGCTCGACCCTATTAAGCTGGCATTTCAGGGTACTATTTTATATATATATATATAAAATTTGAAAGTAGGTGGGGGGGTCGAGCACCCCCCCTGCCCCTACCTGGCTACGCCCATGTACATTTATAATACGCGAAGGGATTTTTTGTGCAGCATAAAATATCTGTACCGTTCGCCCGATTTTCAAAAATGAGATGTCATCTTAAAGCCCTGGTGTGTAGATGTGCAATAAGGTTTTACTTGTTCGAAGAGAGTTGCTACCTGATAAACAATTGCATTCAAATAATTTAATAATCAATGCCATTAGGGATGCAAACGATGCATCGATGTTTTTGAAGCATCGATAATATCGGTTCAATTTTCGATGTTTGCCATCGATGTTTGCAATTTACTAACATCGCGAAATTGACGATACATCGATGGAAGTTTTACCGATGTTTTAAACATCGACTTTAAGGAGACTCTCCGACTTTCTTTCGGTGTGTTTGACTGACCTTAAATTTATTATTCATTCAGATTTTTTTTTGTTATTTATGGCCTTATAACAATTATATTCAGCCGTTTTTTCGGATATCACCACTTCTCCTCAGTGACCGCGGTTGTGATTAGTAGATGTGGTGATCTCCCAAATAGCAGCTATAACTTCTTACCTTTGTAAATTATTGTTGCTTTTCCACAACATTTTTCATAAAAACGGCCCCAAGCTCAATAAAATTGTTGGATTCATTTAGAATGCTAATAAAAACAGAACCAAACACCCCTTAGAATTTCAACAAGATCAGACCTAGGATCTTTAGGCCCGAACGCAGTGGCGGATTTATCGTAGAGGCAACATAGGCTGAAGCCTAGGGCGGCAGAATTAAGGGGCGGCAAAATTTAAGACAGCTAAATTAAAAGAAAAAAATTTATTTGGATTCAGCTGCACTTGAAATTGTGTTTGTGTCTGTAAAATATTATTAATGATTCATCTCATTCAATACAATTCAAAATTAGAATTACGCTGCGAATTTTTCCTTAGTATAGCAGTCGTTGAAATTTCCATTTAACTTTCATTCACGCGGCTTAGAAACCTGACGGCGCGCCTGCGCGTGACGCAAAGAAACAGCCGACACGCTGCCCCGAGAACGAGAATCATCTAAAAGGTTACCACACTTGACAACACTGCCGAAAAACGAGCGTGCATTTTCGAGAAAATTCTTGATTCCAAGCCCACCAGTTTTTCATAAGTGTATCATAACGTGAATAATCTGAAGGTCAGCTTCCGTCGTATGTAAAATTAGGCAGTGTATCTGTGTATGGTCTTCTGTTTGTCTTGCGCGAGGTCAAAAAATCTTCCGGATGAGCGATTTTATTTTGTATACTCGCATAGCGCTACTTCAATGTCCTGATAATTGGATTCTACTTGTCCAAACCTCTAAAGCATTTCAGTGCAGTTTTAAAACGCGTGAAAAACTATCTCAGATCTTCATTGAGCGAAAACAAACTGAATGCTCTTGCGTTGCTGACTATAGAGTCACATTTGTTTCTATCTATCGATTGTGAAGATATTATCCGCGAATTCGCAGCTGAAAAATCAAGACGTAAAGAACTGTGAAAAAGAAGTGTTTGAAAGAGGGTTTTTGTTGAATACCTTATCCATGCTGATGTCGAATTTGTTAATTCCGTTATGTATTTCATTATTAACGAACTATATTGTAATAAAGCACTGACAATAACAATCATATTTGATATATATATATATTTTTTTTTTTTTCGTGAAAAAAGGGCGGCAAGTTATGAATTGCCTAGGGGCGGCAAATATTTAAATCCGCCACTGCCCGAACGAACTTACGATGGTATGCATTTTGATTCTAATGATAGAAAGGGTATAGAAAGGATAACAAAATACAGGAAAATACATTCATAATTATTAAAGTATTCAATATTACTTTAAATTTAACTAGAAATTAACAAATTGCAAAACATCGGAAACCATCGATATATCGATGTTTCTCTGGCGATGTATTTTAGCCTCGATGTTCTTTTCTCCGATGCATCGAAACATCGATGTATCGATGTTACTGCTCAAAATTTGCATCCCTAAATGCCATCAGATCCAAACCGTTCGTTCGATTTTCAAAAGTGAGGTGTCAAATCAAAGGGCTCTGACTTTAGATGTGCAATAAGGTTTGACTTTTTCGAAAAGAGTTGCCACCTTTTCAAAAATTAAGTTCAAAATAATACGCGAAGGTATTTTTTGTTCCGCATAAAAGATCAGGACCGTTCGATTTTCAAAAGTAAGGTGCCAAATCAAAGGGCCATCTTTTAAAAAAACTTATGTTCAAATTATTTAAAAAGCTAAACCAATTATTGCAAAATGGGCATAAATGGAAATAGTTTTGAATATCTTTGTTTCTTAACTGAACTTTATGAGGTTTTCCACCTGCTAAAGAAATCAAAACAAAATGATAAACCATCTTCGGTGAGAGGCCCCAACGATTGCAAGTGGCCCACTCTACAGCAATATGAGGCTACACACGCCTTCTTTACCCTTACCTTCACGATTGGCTTCCAAGATAGTCAGGATTAAATCCAGATATTTCAGAGAGCATAAATGGAATGCCACCCAATTATGTTGATGACTTGGGATTGTATACTTCCTATTGAAAACAGTGAGCTCGGCTTTACAAAGGCTAATGAGTAGTCCGAAATTCTCAGCCAAATTTACAACCAAATTCAGATAACCTTCCATTGATGCGTACTAGGTGCCTAAGGACTTTACGCTAGCAATAGCTCCTGACTCATCCGTATTCGCAATTAACCAATAGGCCTTCCTTTCCAGTGTCCAACAGGTTATTGACGACAACGAGCCAGAAAGTGGAAATAGGGCTCCTCTTGTAGCGTACCTTAATTTTATCTTCTCTAGGTAGATGCGCTTCCCCATAGCAAGCATTACATAAAGCGTCAAAGTCAATTTGGACGTATTTAGGCGGGAGAGAGTGCTTAACAAATTCTGAAACCGAGTGTAGAGCCGAGTTGTCCATGGACTAGTTATGCTGATTTAAGGACGAATGCATCCTAATAATTCTGTTTCTGACATGCAGCTAAAACAATCTTTCAAGGATCTTTAAAAAAATCGATGAGAGATTGGTTAGCTTAAAATCTTTGGGAATGCATGGTGCTGCGTACTTTGGGTATAATAAGTAAATATTGTATATACGTACGAGTATCATACGTTGGTTTCTACTCTAGGTCTTTGTCTCAATTCTCTGCCTCTGGTTCTGGCTCTGGTCTTTGGTCTCTGTATTCACTTTTCCATTAGACATGTGAATTCTCAGTTCATCAGAGGAAAAGCAATGTTAGATGAGTTGGTTAGAATGGACGGGTGAAGAGGTGCTATTTATCTTGCGGGGCAAATTTGTGGTGCACCTGGTGTGCACCCTTATTTTGTCACACCTACAGTTTTACGCCGACTCCGAACTGCGATTGTATTTGTATGAGAAGCTGATTTTCATGGCGGAAATGCACTCGGAGGTTTGCCGTTGCCTGCCGAGCGGCGACCGCTATTTGGAAAAAGAACATTGATGTTGGTTTGAACCGCGCTTGAACCCAGGCCCTGTGGAATGGTAGCACGCACTGCTAACCACTATACCGCAGCGGCAACTTCACATATTGG